AGGTTGAAAAATCCTGCTTCAAAGATTCCTGCTGCAGAAACCAGGGTCTCGTAATATTGGATGGAGCGATTTGGAGTAATAGTATCTGTGAGTTGATTGGAGAAAGTGGGTATGATGCAAAAGAAAATAGTGAACATCATATGCAAGAGCACCTTTTGGATCTCCATTGTGTTTCTGTGGGTTTGCTTTGGTTACTGGTATCATGTCTATTTAATCAAATCTTAAATTAAATTCAAATTCGTTTGTAACACTTCAGATTTGACGTCTAATTCATCACATTTCACACGGTGATATTTTATAGAAATATTTCTTGTAAATTAGAATCATTCACTTATAGAAATTGTCCATGTAACTCTTTTTAAGATCTTCGGTCATCTTTTAGAATTAATAATTGTCTTCACAAATCAATATAAAAAATTTTATAGTGTATTTTGTTTTTATTCGCAAGTTTTTTGAAAAATTTTACAGAAGGTCATCATCCCTAAACTGGTTCACACTTGACTAAAACTTTAAATGAAGCTACTAAAAAAATAAATACATTTTATTAGTATCGATAATATAAATTAATTCTTTTAACTTATCATCGAGTGGATCTTTGAATCTCTCTTATTTTGACGTATCTAGATTGTTACACGTTTCGTCTGTCAACTCTTCATGTCCATTTCATATCGATTCAAAATTCATTCTGAAAAACTTGCAGCTAGTATTTCTAATTTACACGAAGTTTGATGTGTTGGTAGGGGGTCAAGACCAGAAGTTAACCGGAGGAAGAAACTCATCATTAGTGATTAAAAAAATAGAGATGTTGGCATTAATTTAAAGCTTGGTTATTGTAGGGACCGATAGTCCACCTGTTCCTCCACTATAGTATGATATTATCCGCTTTGGGCTAGGCCCGCACGGTTTTGTTTTTGCGCTCCTTCCCAAAAGGCCTCATACTATGTAGAATGGTGGACACTTATAAACTAGTCAATGTTCCTTCATTTTACCGACTTGGGATGAATCCCAACAGTTATCATTTCATATACACATTAATTTTGAAAAACTTGGCTTCGTCATTGCTTACAACTTCCCGCAACTTCTTTGTATTTTGTCAAAAAATTTATTATCCAAGAAGTCAAAAGAGAGGAAGAGATCGTGGGAAGTGAGAGGGAAGGAGAAAGGGTGAAGATAGAGAGGAGAGAGGAGAGATGAGAGAAGAAAAAAGAGAGATATACAGAAGACAAGAGTCAGGAAGCATGAAGAATTTCAAAGGAAGGAAACAACACCTTACGAACTTTTCAAAGGAAAAAAAAAAAAACACTAAAGCATGAAGAAAAATGTTTTCTATTTTAATTTATTGCTTTCATTCTCTAAAACTAGTTGTTTTTATATTATATTTTTAAGATTTAGAAAACTTGTATGGTTGTACTTCTTGTTTTTAGTCCATAAAATGAAAATATTAAAAACGTGTTTGATTTAATTATTTTAACGAAAATTCTTAAAATTCATTTTATATAAAATTCACATATAAATTTTCAACAATAAAATGTATTCAAAATATAGGATAATTAGATATATACTTTTAAAATTATAATAATCTACAAAAATCTATGATTTATTTATGAAAGTTAAACTCCTAAAAAAAGAAAAATCCACGCCACATAGTCAATCGTAGATGACCACGATCCAAATAAATTTGAAAACCCAATGAATCTGATCCCAAAAATTTAAAATCGGTTCAGATTAAATCGAAGAGATGAAAATTCAATAATTTAATTTGGATTAGATTATAGATTTTAATGTTTAAAAATGTAAAAATCGATCGATTATTATATATTGCTTTTTCTACACATTTATAAAGATTTAGAATTCATCACAAAAAGAAAGTTTAGAGTTTGGATTGAAAGTTCAACCAAATTTTTTACTCATTCAACAGATATTTATATTTCTATACTCTATTTTCGTTTCATTTTTTCTTTTTGCAGTTAAAGTTTAAGTGTAAAGCTACATGAAAATAAATATATAACAATGATTTAATTTTTTCAACTTTTAGTCTTTAATTTTTATTTTTTGATTAAACATAATTTAATCCCTACACATGATGTGGATTCTCAATTTGTTGGTCCCTATGTGTAAAAATTTATTAAATTGGTTTCTATACATGTAAATGTTACTAGTTTTATCTTTGAAACCGTTAGCACTCTTACATATTTTTAATTTAGTCTTTTATATATGTAGTGTATGATCTATGCATAATTAGCACATTTTTAATTTGATCATCTATATGTAAAGACCAAATTAAGAATGTATTAAATGTGTTGGAACCAATTAAGGGTGTCTTACTTGTACAAAAATTAAATTAGTAATATGTAATGGAATTAATGGTATTATGACCAAGTCAGAGACATTTTACGGTTATAAAGATTGATTTAATAAGTTTTTATGTATAGAGACCGAATCGAGAATCTTTGACATATATAAAGATTAAATTATATATATTTAACCTTATTTTTTAAATGCTAAATACTAGGATCCAAACCAATATAATATACATTGGTTTAGTTATGGTTACAAATTCCTTTAGAAAAATCCAATTTAAATAAGTTTATTAAATTTAATCATAACAAATAAAAAATAATATAAATTTAATGAATATTGCTAGAATTTATCATATTATATGTGATTTTTTGTAATACCTTATTTTTAAAAAAATAATAATATTATTAATATTATATTCTCTCTTATATTTTTGTGGTTAGAAATATTTAATTATTATTATTAAAGGAAAAATTATTTTTTATTATTATGTATTTTTTAAATTTATTTGAGAAAAAGGAGAAGCTTGTAAGGAAGGGTAATGAGTTGGGTTGACCCGGTCCAAGAGAATGTCAAGAAGGGTTAGCAGATTAACCCTCATTACTCTCATTTGAGATTTTTTGTGGCAACTCTTTTATTTATTTATTTTTCTTTTCGACACTAAAAGAATGACAATTCTTCATTTTTAAAAATATTTACAAAGAAATTATTTTCTAATTTTTAATCACTACTAGAATTTCTCTCATTACATGCGAATTTTTCTACAAATTTTTCATAAATTTTTCTGCGGGTAATACCTTCGTGGATAATATGTTTTTGTGAATTTTAAAATTTGCAAGAAATTTTCCTGCGAAAAAAATTCGCAGGAAAGTTTCCTGCAAAAAAAAAAAAAAATCGTGGGAAAGTTTCCTGCAAAAAAAAGTTCGCAAGAAAGTTTCCTGCAAATTTTTTCGCAATAAATTCTGCAGGAATATTTTTTATGAAAAAAAAAATTAAAGAAATTACTATAAATCTTATCAATAATTCTTCAACTTTCAAATGCTCACAATGAATTCATCCGAAACATTTGTTTCCATGTCTCCAACATGTGATACATAATCTTTTAAATTCCAAGATCGTAGATTATAAGCCTAATACTTAACTATACAAATCAAATTGTAAGATAAGTGTTGCCCCAACTTATATACTTTTTAATTATTTTATTTTTAATCGATGTGTGACTTGAAGTTTTTTTAAAATATTAAACTTATAAATTTAAATATTTTTTTTATTTTTCCTGCAGATTAAAATTGAAGGAAAATCTGCAGGAAAAGCTACCTGCAAAATTTTTCTACCATTTAGTAAACATTACTTGCGAATTTATTTTTGCAAGAAAATCTGCAAGAAACAAAATAAAATTCTTACAATATTTTCTGCAAATTTACCATGGAAAAAAATTTATATGATCATTAAAATTATAGCAAAATTTGCAAAAATTTCTTGTAGATTATTCATAAAAAAATTTGTAGGAAATATCTGTAAATTATTTTTCGCAAATAAATTTGTAAAAAAAAATTGTAAAATTATTATTGCAAGAAAATTCGCAAAAAAATTCTGCGAATATATTTTTGCAGGAAAATTCGCAGGAAAATGACACTTTTCTAGTAGTAAATCCAACATATTTTCAGCCTCATTTCCTGTTATCTTTGAAAATGAAAACAAAAATATACTCAAAGTAAACAAGCCCAAATATGTCTCATTTCAAAGTTTTTGGTTGCAAATATTTATTTTAAAAAATGGAAAAATAAAATCTCTTCACAAGTTACTTCATAGGTGATGAAGCATTTTTCTTAAGATATATACATTGAATAGTAAAACATATAAAGTTTATAAGTGGAAAACATTAGTTATTTGATGTTTCTCTTAATGACACAAAAGAAGAATCAAGCAAAGACACTTCAATTGAGAAACCTGCTAAAATGGCTAAAGAGTGGAGGACTACCAGAGATTTCTCAATAATGGACAACATTATTGGAGAAATATCCGAGTATTTACTAGAATTTTATTAACTCATTATTGTAAATAAGTGGATTTTGTTTCTCAAACTGATCCCAAAATAGTAGATGAAGTCGACTTATTGCTATGAATGCCGA